AGAAACAGACCCTCTAACAACAGTGACTTCTGTAAGCTCCTGTCTCGGTGGCCACCCTACGTCAGGGCTGTTCTAGCTGACCGAAGCGCAGAGCTGTGTGCTGACGGGCAGGGAAACGAGACCATCATCCTCCATCCATCCAAGCTGTTTGGCCGAGCTGCCCTACTGTGCATGCCTTGACACACTCCAGCATGCAGTGTCCTCAGGGGCACAGGGCAGCCCCACTTTGGGGACACTGGAGAACCCCTTTTCGAGCTGTACGTTGCAATCAGCCTTAAGGATCTTTCCCTTTTAACGAGAAAATCAGGAGGACTCCCATTTTGCCCATACTTTCAAGAACTGTTCCTTCTGAGAGCTTCAGAGCTGGGGCAGCAGCCTCTATCTGATGAGCCGAATTTGCCGAGGACGCACAAAGGATGACACCAAGCAGCTCGAGTGACTACCTCCTTAAAGACGTCGCAGATTAGCGATGACTATAGATTTTCCCCAGCACAGACCAAAGGGCTGGAACTGAATGTGTTAGCCTAATGAGCCAGCCCCCGTCACGCCCACAGGGATGGCCTGGACTGGGGAAGCGGTGTGCACACAGGTCTCATGCACTTACAGCTGCAGTTGGCAGCAGCAAAGGTCCGCAGCTGAAGACGCAGGTGGTTTGATTTGCACGACGACCTGGGCCAGCCGTGTCTACCCTCAGCCGGGGCCGGAGCTCTCATAAGCTTTGGAATAGCAGCTGCAGATCTCTGCTTTCTTCCTGCCAGTTCTCAGGAGCATCCTGGCCTATCAAGACCCTGGTGACTAGTGGCCGGCCCTGTCCAGGGTCCTGATGGCGCGCCCCGCTCCACCCACCCAGGGCAGGAAACAAAGACTGCCCTGCTCGGCCTCAGGCCGCCTCCCTCCTGCCTGGGGTCATTTTGCAAGGAGAGGAAACAAGGAGACAAAGGAACTGCTGACCCACTGCTGTCCCTCAGCTCCCATCTCCGAACTCTGCTGGCCAGGTCACTTTCTTCTCGCAGACCTAGCTGTGCTTAAAAACACACCAGCAAAGGCACTGATCAGATAAAAAAAAAAAATTTCAAGCATGCACCTTGCTTGGGGAGACTAGGGTTGCGGTGTACTTTGGGGGGCACAGAAAATGTCTCCATCAGTTAGGTAACCCTAGGAATTGTGGGGAATCTCAGGAGGGGCTCAGGACAGCCCCCTCTTCCTCTTCTATGTCCTGTTCCCGTTGAAACAGCAAGCAGTTGGGAATCACAGGACGATGTCCTCAAAACAAAGGCATATCTAGTGTCCCCTTCCCTGACTGTGGCTGGACCCAGGTGGTGCTGGGCATCCAGCCTCACCAGCATGCCAGGGTGCACACAGCCTCCACAGAGCGAGAGTCGGGGTTTCAAGGAGAGAATCCCCAAAGCAGGGAATGTGGGTGCACCACTCACAGAGGGCTCAAGGCTTGAGGACGAAGACACAAGCCTTGGGCTTAGGGTGGCTCTGCTGCTGCTGCTGTGTAACACAAGTGATCTATTGCTGGCCATCCCAGGGGTCAGCTGGCTGGCCTAGGTGGTGGAGATGGGCATGGAGAGCAGCTCTGGCACTTCCTCTTCTGAGGTGCTCCTGAAGGGGGTTTGTCTCAGGTGGGCTCCCATACTGCATGTACACCAAGGTAGCACTGTACAATGGCTACCCAGCCTCCTAAAGCCTCAAGCAGGTTTGACCTGCTCAGGACCCACTGCATGTACATGTCAACCCCGCACCCCCTCCACTCGGTCTGGGTTCCCGGGTGGGCCCTGCACAGAGGAAGGATGCTCCTCAACCTCGAGGCACGGACTGCGGGACAGGGCCGCTCTGAGCCCCTGGCTGTGGTCCCTGTGAGCGGGCTGGGGTGTGTGCAGGTTGGAGGTGAGAGTCCTCAGTCCACTGCCCTGGGCAGGCAGGCAGGCACAGTAGCAACTCAGCACCCCCAGCCTTAGCCACGATGTGCAGAGGCAGGACCAGGCCTCCACTCAGGCTCCTCCAGGCGACACGGTTGGTTGCGCCCTGCCGGCCCTTTGTTAGAGCAGCTGCGCCGACGCCCAGATGCGGCTGGGCCTCTCTTCCCACCCTGTGCCTGGAGCCCCTACTCCCCAGACTCTACTCCTGGGCCTCCAAGGGCAAGCAAGTGGGGCTCCTGGGTCCTCCTTCTGTGCCCTGGCCTGGCTCCCACAGCCTAGCTGCTGTGGGACAGCTGAAATGTCCGGCCAGGGTAAATAATTAACAAAAAGCAAATGGTCTTGCGCAGGCCGTTATCAATCAATCTCTCCACAAGGCCAGTCGCGGCAAACACTACCCAGGTTGGGTCCCACCAGACTTTCTCATGAACGCCTCCAGGAATCCCGCCCCCCAGGCCTAGAGGTCCTCCTCCGGGTCCTCCAGGGCAGACGCTGGGGGCCATGTCCCAGGTGCTGGTGCGGGGGTGTGGTGGGGGTGGTGGGGGATTCCTTTCCTCCTCCTAGGCCCGGAGAGCTCAGCCCCTTCTCCTGCAGCCCGAGCATCTTGCAAACAATCCACCCGCACTCCCAACCTGGCCAGTCTCCACCCCGCTTGGGACTCAGCGGCGCGGGAGCTCTGCTTTAGTGTGGCTTTTAGTGCGGCTGCGGCAAGCACTACACGGAGAGAACACACTGACATTTTAAAGGTGGTTTAGCCGGTAAGGCCCCCCTCTCCCGCCTCCAGTCTTCACCTGCGCTTCAACAAACACTGCCACATGCAGAGGGATCTGGATTCCTGGGACCTAGGGGCAAGGAACCTGCATCGAGGCCGGGCCTTGCTGGGGCTGAGCGCGGGTCCGTGTGCACAGTGACGGCCCAGGCTCTGCGCACGAGAGCGGCAGCATCTGCGTCCCTCAGCATGTTCCGCAGCCAGGCGCACCAAGGCCTGGAGACAAGTCCAAGTGTCGAAATAAAGCAAGAAGGTAAACAAGAAAAAAACGGTTAACAAGAGGGCTCCTGGTTATTTGGTGCCTTAAAACCAGGCTGTGGCTTTCCTGGAAGCACCTAGTATCCTCGACTGCTCCTTGTCACCCCTCTAAATTAGTGAATAAGATGACACCAGCTCCAGGTTTTGACACCCAGTTCCCTTGGGTGTTGCAGGGAAACATGTCCCACTCCTGAGTCTCGTTTTCTACTTTTTCTTAAAAAAGGCCTGGCACTCCGCGGCTGAGAGTACTGTGCCTTGCCTGGCTGCTGGGTGTCCAGGTAGGCGCCTCTTCAGGGACACCCTGGGTCCCAGGAGCACCTGCCCTGCACCCAGCCCGCGCCTGTGGGGATGGGGATTGGGCACCTCGGTGCCTGCACCCTCAACTCCACCCTCTCTGCTCCCTGGAGGTCGGAGGGCGCTGCACTTGAGGTCACCTCGGAAGGGAACTTGCCGTCTGTCCTTCCAGATGGCCGGAAGCCGAGTGTGCGGAGCACTGAAGTCTGGAGTAAGTGCCTGCGCGCTGGCTGTGGCGCTGGCCTTTCCCCAGGGAGAAGGTGCTGTTCTCCTTCCTCTTCTTCTAGCCTTGCCCACCCCTGGCAGGCCACCGATGCGGGGCCAAGCACCCTACCTGCGGGAGCTCAGAGCAGCACCCAAGCAGAAGCCTGCAGCCGCGGTTGTAAGTCGGTGTGCACAGACAACGCGGTGCATGGGCCAGAGAGGCGGGAGAACTGGACAGTGACCCGCGGATTACGGGACAAGGCGCGGTGTCCCTTGGTCATCCACCATTCACATGGACTGAGCAGGACTAGAACCCTGCCCGGCAGGGCTCACGGTTGCAAAGTGCTCCGGACCCCGGGGCTCCAGCACCCAGCGGGAGGCGGCTCCGGTGTTGCTGAGTCCTGGGCACCGGCCTCTCCCACGGTCTCAGTGGCGCGCGCGCGGTGGGGGAGGGGGATCGCGGCTGCCTCGCGCTTTGATTTTAGACTGCGAAATGGCTCAGTGCCCCCGCTCTGAGCGGATTGACTGTCTCTCATCCTCCAGGGACGAATTAATGGAGAACGATCAGTTAATTAACAAACCCTCATTCAGGCTTTTACCTTTCTCTCGGCCAAGGATGGGCCTGAGCGTGTGCCCCCTGAGCGCGCGCCGAGATGGGATTGGGGCAAGGCCTCCGAAGCCAAATCCAGTGCGTCCTCCGCGCGCGGCTCGGCCTCTACCTTCCCTCCTATCTTCCTCTCCGGTGGCCTTGGCACCGCCTGGGTTCCCAGCGCCGTTCTAGGATTCACTGACCCTTGGCCTATGCGCCTTTAGGGAGCCAGACGCGGTGGCTCCTCTAAAACAGCCGGCTCACATGCCCGACTTGGAAGATCCCCGGGCAGCCTGGGGAGTCACTGGCGCACTCCCACCCTCCCGCACCAGCATTCGGAAGACAGCCAAGAGCGGTAAAGGCGGGTCCCTGGGCTCCACCGGAGGTCCTATGTAGCTCAGCCCCTCTCCCAGGGACCTCGGCCGCGTCTCTCCCTTCCCCATCTGTCCACGGCGAGTTCCGCGCGCAGCGCGTTCCGCAGAGGTCCCGCCTCACACCCTGCCTCGCAGTTGGAACCTTTGGCCTGCGCCCCTGCAGCGCGGTTCCATGCAGCCTGCGCCGAGCCCAGGGACCGAGCGCAGAAGCCGCGGAGCGGTTGCAAAGTAGCGCAGGGATGCAGCTCCGCGGGCTCCAGCCCAGCGCAGGGTGCGCAACTGGCCGCAAGGCGAGTGCTGGAGTGTGGCTTCAGGTAGGCGTGCGGCGCGCGCTGCTCCCAAATCCCGGGTGCTCGACCCAAAACCCCCTTACATGGCCCGTGTCCTGACAGGTTCCAGGATTTCTCTTGGCCTCCGGCGCCTGATGCGCCCGGCAGCCACGGAAGCCCCCAGGCTCCTTCACAGTCCGGCGCACCGAGCCCTAGGGGAGGTGTCTGCCCCAGCCACGTGCCAGCCCTCCCGCGGACCCTTCTCCAGACAGAGCGGGGGTCCTTTCTTTGGTCCCCTCTCGCGGCTCCGCGCCAGCTCACCTGCTAAACGGAGCGCCGACATTCGCTGGAACTCGGGCTCCTGCAGCCACTTCCACATCCTCCGGAAGGTCTCCCGGCCGGACTTGAGCTTGCTCCAGGGTTTGGGGTTGCGCAGCAGGTCCGAGAGGGTCCCCTGGGAGCGGCAGAGCACCCTCTGAGCAAAGATGGCCTGGGGAATGCTGTAGCGTTTGAGCTCGGTAGTGATGCGCTGCGCCACCTCTTTGGTATTGATCTCTTCCATCTGTCCTGAATTACTTCCATTGCTGACTTGCGCGCCGGTCACCGAGGGGTTGGGCTCTCGGGCCGTGCCCAGGAGCTGTCCGTGGCCTTGGGCATTCAGGTGGGCGTGAGGATGGTGCGGAGGGAGGCCGTTGATAGGCACCATGCCGGCCGAGGTGGGCGTGAGGTGCTGCTCCCCGTGGCGGCCGAGCATGGCCGGATGGTGGGCTTCGAAGCCGTTGGGGGTGAGCATCTTGTCGGCGGGCATGGCGGCGCCCGGGTGGGCGTAGTGGGGGAGCCCTTGCTGGGAGTTGTGGATGCCGCCCAGGCCGGAGCCAGAGAGGGGCGAGAGGCTCTGGCCCATGCCGGCCACGTCCTTGTGGTAGGGGGTGTAGAGGTTATTCATGGAGGCCAGCCCGCGCTCGTCGCGCATGAGGGTGAAGCTGCCACTCACGTTGCCTGCCAGGCGCTGGTGGTGGTGCGGGGGGTGGTGGTGGTGGTGGTGGTGATGGTGGTGATGGTGGGGGAACTTGTCCGACACGGTGGAGATGGGTGGCAGCGGCTGCAGCGGGGTCAGCGTGGTGTAGGTGGTAGGCATGCTCATACCTGGGGGAGTCTCGCAGGCCATGGTCATGGTGGGGTGCAGGGGCCCGGCCAGGCTGTGCTCGGGGCCGCGGGGGTGGTGGTGGTAGTCGCCGCCGCCGCCGCCGTCCAGCAGGGTGGCCATGCCCAGCGAGCGCGGGTGCGCGGGGGCCAGGTGGCCGCCGCGGTGCGCCACGGAACCGCGCGCGTGGGGACTGCCGCCCAGCAGGTCAGCGGGGGCGGGCACCGGCTCGTGGCTCACCGCGTGCAGCTCGCCGATCGCCTCCATGGTCAGCTGCGCGTTCATAGTGATGCGGGCGACAGCGCGGCGGACACCACATCGAGGTGGCGGGCGGAGCGGCGAGGGCGCGCGGGTCCGGGTCACATCGGCCGCCGGCGGCTGTGCTGCCGCCCGCTCGCGCTCCCGGTGGGCTCTGTCTTCTGCGTGCGCGCGTGTGCGTCCTGCCTTGCCTCGGTCCCCACCTTCCCCCCTGCGTCCTAGGCTGTTTTTAAATATTAATTTCCAGAAAGATTGCGCGCCGTGGGGAGAGCGCGGCACCCCCAGCCCGTCGGCCCCCTCTGGCCCCTCTCCTCCTTAGAACGGCGAGGCCCCCCGCTCCCGCGCCGCGGCCCGCGCGCTCGCCGCGGCTGCTGCCTGCCCGCGCCGCCCGCCCGCTCGAGCCATGGCTCGGTTACTGTTGCAGCTCCGGGGCCGCGGTCTGTTCTCCGCGCCGCCGCCGGCCCGCCCCCACGCCCGGGGCGCAGCGCGCATGCGCGGGCGCGGCCCCGCCCCCGGCCGCCAGCCCGGCCCACGGGGCCCGGGTACAAATGCAGGCGGGGCCGTGCGCCTCGGCGGCGGGGCCTGGAATCCGGGGCGCGGCGGGCACGTGCGCGGAGCGGCGCGGGGCGCGACCTGGGGCGCGGCGGCCCGGATCTCGGGGCTCGCTTTCTGCTCGCCCGCTAGGCGGTGGGCTCCTTCTCCCCGCGTGGACTCTCCCTCGGGCCCAGCAGCCGTGGGCGCGCCATGCTCGGAGGGCCATCGGCCTTCGCGCTCCAGCCGCGTCCTCCCCTCTCCTCCGAGCCGCTCCACGCTTCTTTTCCCTAGGGGCTGCCGGAAGTTGGCGCTGTCCCCACCCTTAAGTGCTAGGCCCTGGCTCTGGGTATCCTAGAGGCCCAGCTTGGCAACTGGCTACCCACAGCCCCCGGACCCTTCTCCGCGCACCCGTTCCCCTCCGTGCCTCAGTGTCCAGGGTCCCGACTGGGCCGTACCTCGCGATCCCCAGCGCCAGTTCTCTCGCTCCGCTCCGGTAGGGCTGCGCGCCCGGCCTGCGGACGTGTGTGCCCTGGTGGGCTTCCCGTTAGGTCCCTGGTGTGGCCCCCCCACCCGAGTTCTCTCTCCGGCGAGGCGCACCGAGGCTGCTGCCCGAGCGAAGTCTGGCACAGGCAGGGCGGACGCGGGTGCGCGGGGCTCCGCCTGGCCCTGGGGACGCCCTCTTCCCGGCGTCCCCGAGAGAAGCCTCCAGATTTGAAAATCAGTTCAGCGTCGGGCACAGTCACGCTCCAATCCAGGATGGACCTTGGTCCGGAGGTCTGGCAGGGACGCGTGGGGAGGCCCCCAGTGTGGGGCTACACCGGCCGCCACATGCCGCGGCTTTCTTTCATTGACAAAAGAGAAAAAATCCGTAACAAAAGGCAGAGCCGTGTCGCTTAGGTGCTTTCATCCCCTTGGAGAAAGGACAGATGTGCCCATTGTCCAGCCCTTGGCAGTTACAGCAGGGTCAGCGCCAAGCCTCAGCCATGAGCCAGGGGCTTCACAATGGGGGCGGGAGCCTGGGGTCTGGGCCCAGGCCTGGGATGAAGTGTGTGTGGCCTGTGCTCTTGGCCCAACTCCGGGTGTGGGTTGTTAGAACCCGGGCTAGAGCTCATAGCCGGTGTTACTGCATCGGACGTTCCCTGACCCTTGGAGAGGACAGGGTTGAGTTGGCAGCAGCGGTGGTGGCCTGACTATGGGACAAACGTTGGGGTGGAGACCCCTGGCCAGATCCCCACCAGATAAGGCAGGGGCAGGCCCATTGTTTTGTCCAGGTCCCTGCTGCTGCCAGGCCAGTCCCTGTCCATGAGCCAGGCTGGTCAAGGTCGGTAGGTACAGCCAGCCTGGCTGCTGTGAAAGGGCCAGTGCTTGGGGCTGCTTGCCTCTCTGCCTGATGTGGAAGGGACAGTCCAGTCCTGTCTCAGCATGTGCATCTGCGTGCCCTGGAAATGGGGGGCTGCCCCATGGGATTCCACTCCTACTTGCTCAGTCCACATTTAGGAGCTTGGATCCTCTGCACTGTGGTGGAAGAGGGTTGGGGAAAATACACAGCCAAATTGAACTCAGGAAACAAAATGACTTATAGTTTCTATCTAAATCTGCCTCTCTGTACACACATATACATTAGCATAAAACATTTTTGGTTTAGTGGATCACAATATGTTAGTAGGAAGTTGAATCATCTTAAATCATTTCTGTTCTCTTTTTCAGATAGCACAGAGCATGTGACCTTCATAGGAGATGAGACCAAACAATGGGTTAAAGCAGCAGGCAGCCTTGAGCTAAACTGCCCCTTACTTATTTGAATCCCACTGAAATGATTGATTTGCCCTTATGACAACTGCTTCTCACAAGGCAGTGTGTCAAAATGCCACCACGTGCACAAATTGTCCATGGTTTTCTCTTTGTGTAGCTAATTAGGGACTTGATCCAGGAAACCCTCTTTCCTGTGAGACTCCCAGCTGAGCCCCTAGAGGCCACCAAAAGAAAGCTGGGATCCCTGAGCTCAATTCCTGCCCTCTGTGCACCCCCACCTTTGTGTAAAGGGCACCCTGTGTCAGGTGCTGGTCCCCAAAGTAGAAGGGAAGGAAAAGATTTGGGCAAGTGTGTTGAGCTTGCTCAATTCAATGTCTGACCCTTAAAAAAAAATTGCATGTGCAGGACTTGCTTTGGCTTGCAAATTTCCTTCATCTTTCTGAGCAGGTCCCACCTTTTGGTTAACAGTGGCTTCCCTGGCATGGTTCAGTTGCAGTGATTTTCTCAGCCAGAAGCAACATAGTCTAAGGATGCGCTCCCTTGGCCTGGCTAAGGTGAGTGGAGGCCCAGAGGCAACCGACAGGTTGTCAGCTGCGGGAGGTCTGGGATGACTTTGTCCTCTGTCCGATCCACCTGCCCAGCACAATGCCTGGCACCATGGAGTGCCCTATGAGGAATTAGAGCTCCTTGACACTTGGTAGGGCCCTGTGTGCATGCTGGAGGGGAGGGAGTTCGGCTTAGATGCTCAGATTCTGAGTAGCTTCAAGGACTTTAAAGAAAAAAGAGTGTTAACATCAGAAAATAACATACAAGCATATACCTCAACAAAAAGACTGTGGGCTGGATGCTTCTTGCTGGTAATATTTTCAGTGTGGAAACAAGAATTTCAGGATGTTTATTTTGTAAATGTCATGAAGACAAGAGCCTGGGAGCAGGAAAGGGGGTAGGATTTGCCTTATAGGCTTCGAAAAGAAACAATAGGGCAGTTCCTCCAACTGCTGGCCCCGGTTCTCTGGAACCCTCTGCTCAAGAGGTGGTGCTTGAATTCCCCTTGTAAAGCAGGAGGTGAGCTGTGGCACCTAGACAGGCCTGGGTCTAGAGAAACCGTTTGGGGCCTCTCTTTGCAGGGTTCTCAGGCGAGGGGGCTGACTTCTTGGCTACCTTGGCGACTCCCCAGCCTTGGCTGTGGGTGGAGCTCCCTCTCCAGTCCTCCCAAGTCTAGAAAAATTTGGTTTGGAAATTGCTGATGACTTAGAATAGTGCATCCAGAAATCTAGATGTCACTGGCCTGGTGTTTTACTATTAAAAACCATTTTTAAAAACACCAACTGGTCAATAGGCCGGGGGACAGCTCATACTAGGTGCCAGGCCCTGGGTTTGAGCCCCAGCACCACAAAGAAAGAAATTAGTGATGGTACCTCATCTCTAGGGCCAAGGAAGTAGCAATCAATTATTCTAGATCCTTTGTTCTTTGGTCTTCTGTGTAGCCATAATTTTCACTCTGTTATTTTGTTCCCTTTTTCTTCTTACAGTTTTTGCCCATGGAAACAGTATTTCCAACTTTGCTTTGTTCTGTCTCTTACTCAGCTCTCCAAATCCCAGAGCCAAGCTTCTGTGCTGAGGGTAGGCAGCTCCCTCTGAGTCCCAGGGCCTGCTGAGACCACCAAGAGAGTGTTGGAAAGGCCAGAGCACTGGGCTATGCCTCTGGGCAGAGGAGACCTCTGCTCTGCTAGGCCCTGGGTCACCCACCTTGGCAAGGGCTGGTCCACGTTCTGGTTCCAGAGTGCTGGAGGAGGAGAGGGGTCCCCAGGGTGTCTTGGGGTAGAGGGAGGGGCTCCTGAGGGCCCCACACTGGACCAAGCCAAGATCCCATTGCCAATAGCTAGCCCTTCATGGGTGTTTCTTTTGTGGTCATACCTGTTTATTGTGGAAGTATGCCACAAAGGGAACTGGCTGGCCCAGGCTGCAGGGGGCAGTGAAGCAACCAGGCTCAGGGAGTCTGGCACTTGGAGCTTTGGCTCTGGATTAGGCCTGGGCTGGGGTTGGAAAGGTCTGGAGCCAGGTGAGGAGAGTTGGAGGAGTGCAGGGCAGCATCACCTGGGTGGCTTCCAGACACAGCTCTGACAGAGGGCCATGGAAGGCTGAAGTTTTCGGCCTGGGCCTGGACCGGCCACCCCTCCCCCCCACCCTGGGTTGGCTGAGAGCAGCTGCTCCAGCCTGGGAAGGAAACTCTTTAAACAAATCATTTTGGTGTCTAATCAATTAGTGTTTGCCCACTCAAGTACCATAGTTTTAACAGAATAATCGTTACTGCCCTTGTCTTTATTTGACCCAGAGACACCTAGAAGATTTAAAAACAAAACCCCAGTGTTCTGGGCTCCTCGACCCTGGTCTGCACCTCTCTCCTGGCTCACTCCCCAGGCCTGGCTTCACTTTCTTTTTCTTTTTTTTTTTTTTGTCTTTTTCATTTTTATCGGTACCAGGGATCGAACTCAGACTGCCTGCTTGCAAGGCAGGTGCCGCTGAGCTAAACCTCCAGCCCCCTGGCTTCACTTTCTGCTTCCCATCCTCTCAGTCCTTCTCTTCCTCCTCTTCCTCTTCCTCTTTTTCCTCCTCCTCCTCTTCAGAATGCTGCTTATCCCACCTTTTCTTCCCAGGTGGGCAGGCCTTGTGTTGCACCTTTGGCCTGAGTACCATCCAGGTTTGGGATTATAGACTCACAGAGCACCCAGTCTCTCCCAACTCCTGCCTTCTTGCTGCTTCCTGAACCAGTCCAGATCTGAGGAGTCCTCTGGGTGCACCTCTGGCTTCCACAGAGCCCAGGAGATCACCCCTGTGGAATGGGGGTACCAGGGGGAGCCTGGGTCCCTGTCCTATGGTGGAACTGAGTAGGGAGACCCGGTGGTGTTCAGGTGCTGTCACCTCCTAATACTGTTCTCTGGGCCCAGCTGGCCACAACAGAGGGTTGGGGGGAGAGCAGGGGTCAGGCAAAAGGATCTTCAGAGTTCCTAAGTAGCTATGCCTGTGTCCCCCCCACCCCCCACATGCATGGGTCTGTGTGCCATGTGTGGGCGGTTTGGGGTGGGTTACTTATAGATCTCTGGCTACCAGTACTGGGCTGCAGGAGTCCCAGAGAGGTGGAGAGATGATCCCCAGGGTCAGGAGACCTGGAGGGACGGGCTGTGAGGCAATAGAGAGTTTGGAGGAATCAGGCAGCCAAGAGGACCTGGGTCTTCTGGGTCCCCTAATCATTAGGGGAATAGGAAGGAGCAGGGAGCAGGTGGAGGCTGATGGCAGGGTAGTGGGAAGGTGAATAAGGAGACCCCTAAAAGGGGGAGCAGGGAGTGAGCTGGGAGTGACCACTTCCTCTTTTCCAGGAGGGGCCCAACTCAGGCTGGCTTTGGGGACCTGCTCTGCAGTTCCCAGGCTCCAGCCAGAGAAATTTAGCCCTCAACAATAGATGATTATAATGTACTTGACTAATGCCTGTATTTTCCTGTTTAACATACATTAATCCAAGTAACAAAAAAATCAATAGTGCTAACAACACTGCAAACAAACCCTAGTCTCTGGCATAGAAAACCTTCCCGGATTTTCAGTCCCTCCTACCCCGCTGAAGTTTGTTACTCCCTCTGGTCTACTGTAGCTCCTGGAATTCGATCCTGCCTTTCATAGCCCTTCTCTAAAATCCTAGACTTTTATTTTCTTTTGCCACAGTGGAGGCATTGTGGGGCCCTTCACGTCTCAGCCTCCTCTCTCTAAGGGCCATTTGAACACCTTAAGTTTTTTCAAACTCTGTCCCTTCCAGCATCAGGAATGCCCAAAGCTGCTGGCCAGTGACCTCGGTGGTTTTTATTGTTCTCCTGCCTAACAAAGTCCCAGAGGTGCCAGCCCCAGGGGCTCCCTCGGAGCCCAGACCCATGCCCGACTTCCGGCCCTGTGCTCCCTGCTAATCTCAGGTGGTTGCTATGAGTAGATGTTCCTGACCCTGAGTGTGATTATTTTTTAAAAATTGGCGTTTCCACCTGGAAGAAAGAAGCCAGGAAAGCTGGCTAATGAAGGAACTTAAGTTTGCAAAACACTGTGAATAATTTAGTATCGTATTTCAAGGGAAAAAATAGCTTTCTTAAATCACCCCAGCAACATAAATTGCAGACTTACAGTATAGTCCTGGTAAGTCTAAATTTTTAAAGGAGCAATATTCAAAGAGACATAGATGTCTGTATTAATTATTTATTCACCGGTGCCTTCCTTCGTTTCTAACTTATTATTAATTAGGCGCCTCTAGTCTTTCGCAGCGCGCTCCACTGAGCCCGGTTGCAGCTTTAAATATGAATTAAAAGCAAATCCAAGCTACTGTAATGCGAAAATTATTCCGTGTCTTGCATGGCAGAGATGAATAGCTGCGTGGATCAATACCGCAAAACTCAGCTCCCAACGACAGGGTTATTGATAGCTTATATTAATGATGTTAATGATGGAAAAGGGAAACGACGGTCCACCCGACAGAAACTTTTTAGCCGCTGAAACCCCGCAATAAAAACGGGAAGGGGGCAGGAATTGGGCTTAAGTGTAATAAGAAAATTATTTATGAAACCGGATAAATGACTTCAGAGCCCTGATGCATTTGAACCAAAGCTCCTGGCTCCGGGCAGCCTTGGCTCCAGCTGGGGAGACCGCGAAACCCCGGAGCTTGGAGCTGGGCGCGCGGGAACCTTGTGCCTCCGGTGCACGAGCCTTCAACGTCCCCGCTGGGGCTCGCCAGGGCGCCAAGCGGGAGCTTTGGGCAGCTGCTGGCCAGGGCTGGTCCCTGGGGAGCCGGGTCAGTGGGGCCCAGGCCCAGGGCTTTGGCCGATGTCCTCACTGGCTGTCTTGGCGCCTGGCCTGGAAGGAGAGTCCAGCGCCTAGGAGCCGGGCGCTCCCATCCCTGGGAGCCGGGTTCAGATCTGCCCGCTTGGCCAGGGCTCTCGGAGTCCCCCAGATGTACACGAGTGGCCAGTACCTGAGCGGGAGAGGTCGGTTGCAGACCAGGCAGAGCCCTCGGTGCCTCACTGGCCGGGCATCTGGCTCCAGGCGGTGCCATACGTTCGGTCCCTCTGATGTGCGCCCCAGCCCCCTCCCTGCCCGCCCCAATATCGACCCATTGTCCCTTTCCCCCTAGCCAAGGGCCACGGAGAGGGAGGAAGCATACAGTGGGGAAGCAAAAGGTTAAATCCCGACTCTAGAGGACGGCAGCAAAGGTCAAAGCCCAAGGGTCAGCACGGGCACGGTCCCCTCCCCCAGCAAGGTCTGCGCCAGGGCTAGGGGCGCAGCTGTGGGTCAGGCGCCCTGGATCACTCCTGGGGATGGAAGCGGAGCTTAGAGGCCTTGGAGCCCAAAGCGGGCGGGCGGCGGCAGCAGGCCAGATTCTGGCTCGAGCTGTGTAGCAATCTCAGCTTCTGCTGGAGGCACCTGTATTTTGCTTCAGGGGTCTTTTCAAGTCCCCCTTCCTCCTCCCGTCCTTTCCTGCCCTCCTCTCCCCTTCCTCACCCTTTGCACCTGGATCTCCCCCATTTCTCCTCCACTCCCTTCTCTCTCTTCCCTGCTCCATTTCATTCCTCCCTCCCCTCTGCACTTTCTCTTCCCCTTTTTTTTCTAAGCCCTTCTCTCATCTTTGCTCCTGGCTCTGTTCTCCCCTCCTTCTTTTCCAGGTAGAGCCCGGTGGTGCAAGTCTCAGCACCTCTGGGCTCACTGGGCTGGAGCCAACTCCACTGGCACCAACAGGAACTACTCCTGCTCTTTCAAAGAGGGAGACAGGGAGGCTGGGGTGTGGTCCGGCTTCCCTTCCCTACCTGCAAGGGAAAGTGCTGTGTCTGGCTAAAGTCCACAAGGTGCCATTGAGGCCAGCGACATCAGCAGGAGTTTTGGCTTGTTTATTTTCATTTTATTAAAACTACTTAAGCAAAGTGAGTCTCAGGAGCTATAACCACTAAAAGCACTGGTTGAGCCTCAGCTGTGTTGCAGGCACCAGGAGTGGTGCAGCAGACTGGAAAGCATAATCTAGATAACTAGACAACTCCTAGACGCCCTGCCAGCTAAGATCGCCGGCTTGGCTCAGCCGCCTGGGTTCACAGTGCACAGCCAAACACCAGCCTGTTTCAAGGGGGCCCTTCTTTGGAAAAGGAAACACAACAGACAGGGCAAAAAAAATCACTTGATTCTGGAAAAAAATCAATATCAAAATTAGATTTATTGTCTGCTTATGTGATTAAAAATGACAAAGTGTTGGCTTTTATTTTCATAAAAAGACAGAGGGCTCAACAAAATAATTTACTATTGAGTTCTGCTTGTTCCATTGGCCTGGCAGGCTAGGAAGGAGGCCAGTTGGGTGGCTGGGAGGCACTGGTGTAGGGAGTCTCAGAGGCCCCTGCTGGGCAGGCGTCAGAGTGCCTTTTTGGTCCTCTAAGGAGCAGTCAGTCAGAGGAGAGCTCCCTTGTCTCCACTGGGCTGCAGCGACCGGCCAGCCAGCAGTTCTCAGTGCTGCCTTCTTCCAAAGAAATGCCAGAGGATGTGGCCCTGACTTTAACTCAAGCCCAAGTCTCAGATCTTGTTCCCCTAAATAACTCTGAGGTTATTACTGCTTTATTGCTTTCTGGACCTCAGCAGCAAGGAAGATTTCTGGCTGGCTCTGCAGCCTCGCAGATCCACCACTGGCCAGGAAGGGAGCAGTAACTGCCGGGTCTGGTTGAGCGTGGGTGGGTCATCTGGCCGTGGAGGCTCTCAGGAAGACTGTCGATCTGGGCTGAGCCGGGAGTCTCTGTGGGCAGTGTACACACTGGGGAACGACACTGCTCTGGGTACGTGCTGATGACACACCAGGGTTATCTATGTTGAAAACAAAAACAGAGCTCACAGTATGTATCTCGTGCACACTCCCCACCGTCCTGGAGCCCAGAGGAAGGGTGGCACCCTGGGAGCTTCACAAGTGATCTAGCTTCACACTGGACATTCCCAGTGCCTTGGAATATTGATCTCAACCCCTGAATACGCCTCTGTTGGGAGCGGATGCTGTTGGAGGCCCAGCGCTCTTCGTGGAACTGGCCCTTGACCTTCCTCTCCGATCTGAACCCAACCTGGGGAGCTGTGGCATGCAGTTCTCCACGGAGGCTCCAGGGACACAGTTCCGCCAAGCACACCCAAGTCTGTGGGGCCGGGGCTTCAGGAGCTGTGGGGATGGACCGGATCCCTTGCTCCTGGAAATGCTGACAGGCCCTTCAGATGCCCAGTCCCGGGGCCAGTACATCCTGGGAGGGTGGTTTCCCCCCATCTTGCAAGAATGGAGGCCTCTCAGGACAGGACCAGGACAATGACAGGCATATGGGTGACAAACTGGCCTGGGTTTTGTGGCACTGGCTCCTTCCAGAGCAAAGGCAGAATCTTTGGCCAGCAGCTTCCCGGGAAGCAAACCTTCTGGGCTCTCTCTGTAGCTGGGGCAGCCCCAGCCTGGAGCAGCTGGCCCAGGGTCAGAGGTCAGGCCTTCCATGGACGCTGGGTGCCCGTTGTGTGCAGGGGACAGCAGACCTTACTGTGCCCAGCTCCCATGCTATACCCTGCTGCAGTGATCTGGAGTCTGGACAGGGTGGGGTTGGCTAGTACGGTGAAATTTAGCAAATTATATTCAGACCATGATTCCACTCATCTAGATACTTTTTTTGAGGCAGGAAGGTGTTAATGATTTCTCCCAGTGTCCACGCTGCGGGTAGTGGTGCTGGTGACCATAGAATTGAGCAGGATCTACTGTCTGCATCATTTCATCACCTAATATGGCAGAGCTGGCAAGAAGTTGCCAGGAAGGTTATGAGAGGCAAATGAGCTGGCAGCTCCGTTCCAAAGAGGCGGCCAGCAGAATAGCAAGCTGGCCAGCAGAATAGCAAGCAGGTTTCTACGAATGTCCACGTGGGCCAGTGTACTGAGTGCATCTCCATGGGCTTCAGAGCAGAGGGCTCTGAGCACTGGTTTCAGCCTGTGGAGGGCTCCTCTCCACCCAAGCTCTGGTGAGGACAGAGTAGCTAGCAGTTAGAATTCTCTCTCCAACGAAAGCGTGGTCAATAGAATTCTTGGTATCAAATGAGCAATAATTCGCTGTGGCTACAAGCTGGATAATGAAAGATGTTAGTGGGATCAATAAAAAATGAAAACACTTTTACTTACATGTTGAGTTACTGTTTTAAGAGAGCAAGAGAGGCAACAAACCCAAAGCTAAGTTCAGAGCCTTCTTCCCTGAGCGTGGTTGCTGAGGCCGGGCAAGCGCCTGGCCTCCATCTGGGCCTCTACCTTCTCCAGCCCGCAGTCCCAGGTCTGTGGATTTTTGCTTGAAGTCAGCTCCTACCCATAATGTCTGCACCAGAGGGCTACCACCTCAGTGGGCAGGCAGAAATAAACTACGAATTGTTTTCCACCAACTCTGAAGGCCAATCATTTTTTGCTGTAGTTTACTGAAAGACCATGCAAATGACCCCAAGCAGAATTGGCACTGGGAGAGGCTCAAATAGCCACTTGACCAAGCGGCCCTCCACCAGCCTGTGCTCTTCGGTTGTAGGCACAGGGGTACAGGCAAACAGTTTCTTTGAATTTATTTTGTGTTGTCATTACCATCTGGAAAATTCAGAGCCTAAACCCCCATCTGGCTTTTTAGGCAAATGATTCTCCTCATCTTTTGGCACTAGCATTTTGTTTGCCCAGCGCATTTCCAGTCTTTGCTGGCTTTATTTGTCCTCCCCAGTCTGCTTTCCCACATTCTCTCTTACTTATCTGATCGTTAAGAATCTTATTGCGAAACGATCAGAGAAAAACTCTTATTTTAAGAACATACCAAGATTTTAAAAAACGAGAACAACATCTCAAGTGCTCTGAATAAAACCGGCGCAACGAAAAGACTCGGGTGGGAGGCTTCCGAGCCAGCGTCAGCGGAGAGCGCCTTCAGACTTGGGTCCCGATGCCCCTTTGGGCTGGAGAAGAGTGCACTCTCCTCACCACTCGAGAAACAAAGCGAAACACACATTCAGCCGCTGCCACCTCCGCTTCCGCCTCCGAAGGCACTGGACACCAGACGTTCTGCCAGGTCAGGGCCTCGGGCCAGCGGCTTTCCCCTGCAGGGCTGAGTTTGGAGAGGCCCCACGGTTCAAGGCTGCTGGACCTGAGAAGCGCAGCCGCGGTCCAGCCGCGGTCCAGCCGCGGGACGCCCAGCGCGGGCTCCGCCGGCTCGAGGTGCGGGCGCGCACCCTGGCCCACGCAGGACGCGCGCCGGCATCCCAGCACGCGGCCAGGCGCCCGCGAAAGCCCTGAACTCTCCGCGGCCCTGCCGGGCTGCGGGGTGGGGCGCAGTGAGAGGGAGGAGACGCCGCTCCGCCCCGCCCGGGGCTGCGCGCTCCGAAGCCCCGAGATTCCTCTCCCCGCCGCCCACGCCACGAGGCCGCTTACCCGCGAGGGCGTGTGGCGTCGGGGCCCGCCGTGGGGTTCGCGTTCGGGATCTGCCCCTGAAGGGAGAGAAGCGGGGTCAGCGCGCGCTTTTGCGCCCCAGAATCTGGAATCGGGGCGCAGTTGGGAGCCAGCTCCGCGCCCCGCCGTGCCCACTCCCTCCCGCGGAGAGCGGGGCGCGCAGGGGGTACCTGTCCTCCGCACGGTCCGCAGCAGGGCCCCAGGCGCCCTGGCTCAGCCTGGTGCCGGCGGAGATCGACTCCCTCGCTTCGCGCCCGCCGCGCGCCCGTGACAGCTCCACCCTCCCGGGCACGGAGCGAGGACGGCTCCCGGGAGCGCCCGGCCGGCCTGCGCGGGGGGCTGCAGTCGGGCGCGGGGCCGCTATGCAAATCGGCGCGATCGAAGGTTCGATCCGCGCTCGGAAGTCGATGTCAGCTCCCTGTACATTAGGCGCCCGCGCCTGCGGGGGAGCGGCTTTTTTTTTTTTGCTTACGTGTATATTTTCCTGCACTAATTAAAAAAAAAAAAAGAAAGAAAAAACAAACAGTGGAGGTGGGGCCTCGCCTGCCACCGCGGGTGTGGACGCGCGAAACCCGCTCAGAGCGCCCGGGCTCCGCCGCCGGCAGTGGCGGGGGCTGGGCGGCCAGGCGCGGGTCCTAGACGCCGGCTGCGGATCAATACTGCGCGCTGCAATCCCAGTAATTGTAGGGCTCTAAGCTTTGATTTTAAAGAAATAGGAGCCGGGGGCGGAGGCGATGTGGCTGGGCCTCTGGGGCGCCCACTCTGGGCCGCAGGCTCCACGCAGGAGTGGGCGCAGGCCCGGAGCGTTGGGTCACGCGGGGCTGGCGTCCTGGCCTCGGCGGGGGATGCTGGACTCTGGCCCGGGCAAAAAAGCGGATGTCCGTCCCTTGCTGTCTCCTTTTAGGGCCAGGCCTGGTCACCTCCTGGCTGGGTGGAGCTCCGGACCCTGAGGCAGCCAGGGCACCAGGACCCAGTTCCCCCGGGAGCGCACAGCCCCCCGACCCATCACCCCCGACCCCAACCCCAGCACGGTGAGGACCTCCTGGACCAGCCTGGCCTCTGCACCGCCCGCAGCTCCCAGCTTCTGGCTCCCCTGAAAATGACCATCTGTCATTCAATTAAGGTTTCAGGGCAGCTGATGGGGGAGCCAGGGTCAGCGACCCCAGGACAAAACGGCCTGCTGCCTGCGATGGGAGAAGTTCAAATGTTAAATGCGCAACATTGTGCCCTGTCCCGACACGGCCCCCACCACGCTCGGTCCTGCCGTGGACAGCAGCGGGGGTGAAGGGCAGTGGTCATTAGCACTTAGATTTCAGCTCTGGGTTGGGCTCCTTCTGTTGGGCTATTTTGATCAGAGAACCTTTAACCCTTCACGTGGAGCCCCCTCTCCAGGGAAGGGCAGATTGTCCAAGGGAGGCAAGAAAGGGACATCAGAGGAGTCTGCAGAAAGGGAATGCAGACTGTTCCTGGCCGCTTCTCCATGGGCCAAGCAGCTGACCTGCCAGCAGGGACCTGTGAAAGTTCACTGTCGCCCAAACAAGTAGGAAGAGCTTCAGAAAGTTTTGTGGTCCACGTTTCAGTTTTGGAGAAGAAGGTGACAGAGCCACTGGGCCGGAGTGGATCACACTTCCTCCCACAGAGAAGCCCCAGAGGGAGTGGTGAGCAGCTCCAGCTTGCTGCAGACCACTGGGCTGGATGTGTGGGTGAGAGTGTGCCCCTGACAGTCATTTACAGGCACAAATAGCTGGGGCAGTTGGCCTTACCCTTTTGAGACTTTCCTGTATTAAAATGAAGGAAAGAATAATTGTGACTAATGCAATTTGCAAAAGACACGAATCATACACAGTCTGTGGGCACTGTTATTAGTGTGCTTGGCTTCTCCACATGGGACAAGAGAATCAGCCATACCCTTAGCTTTCTGTGGACTGGACAAGTCTAGGATTCAAAGTGCTTCTTAATTACTAACCTGGAAGCCTGAAAACAGTTCTATTAGCAAGATCCCAGTTCAAGGCTTGGAGATGGAGGTCCTTGGGCAGGCTGCTTAGCCACGAGTAAAGACCCAGGATTTCTGGCATCTTACCATGAAGCCTGGTCCCTACTTTTTGGAAGTAACTATCAGGTAATCAATGAATCAATCAGCTGTTCAGCACCAAAGCACCTTAGCAAATTTTTCTTTGGATAACAATGAATAATGCATGGCCCTCTAGTATATTGACTGTGGTAAGTGGTCTTTAAGGTAAGGTGCAGCAACAAGTACCTTTAAATAAAATCAAAATAAAAAGTTTACCACAATCATAATAAATTGTCCAATCATCTTCCTATTGACCCACGTAGCATCTTTCTGCGGGCGTTTGGAGTTATTTCCCCCTCCCCTACAAACAGACCAGAACAAATTGATGAATTGAGCTTTCACTATGCTAATTTAGACATTATAAATATTTAATTAACATCCCTAATAGCCAGTCAGAGAGGCCTGGCTCTACTTTACACTCTTCTTAATCTAAAGTAAATGCTTTTCCCATTAATAGCCTGGTGCCATTTCAGCAGCTTCCTCAGTAAGAGGGCCCTAGTCAGTCCAAAAGGCGGGGAGCGGGGGCAGCAGGAGGCAAGGGCCCTTCCCACTCCGCTTTGCAAAGGGCCCGGAGGGGCCCAGTCTCTGCAGACTCCTGCTCTCTTGGCTTTTGCTGCTGGAGCGAGGCTGCCCTAGGACTAGGAACCCGTGCTCAGTGCCACATTTTCAACATTAAGTAGTCTTTCGAAGTTGAGCTATGATAAAAACTGTTTTCCTACTTTCACATTTTCATTTTTATCAGCCCATGTTTGCAGTACGTAACAATTGCGTTTCTCATGGGGACCTGGTCGGAGAACATACCCAGCCCATCTCTAATCTTTTTACTTCCCTCCCTCTTGCTCCAGCTCTCCGTCCCTTCCCATTGGCCAAAGCCCCATCTCCTGGGTTGCTGTCATTGGTCTTTTATTTTGCTCTTTGATTTATTCTCGGGTTTCTCATGTAAGAGAAATCTTACGATATTTAAAAGTGCATGTGGGTTAGGAAGGCTTGCATTAAAAAGTAGCTGATGGGTGGCTTGTTTCTGACCATGGTGTAGGACAGGTCTTCCAAGGAGGAGTGTGGAGTGAAAAGAGGTCGCCATTGTCTGGGCCTCAGAGCCAGAGGCTGATGGGAGAAGAAACAGCTTGGTGTGCAGTTGACGCTCAGGAAATACGCGGTGAATCTGTGGAAGGCGGCCTGAGTTATTAACCTTTCTCTGTTCTTGGAGTCTACAGTTCTCTGTCATCAAAACACAGCGTTGCAGAAGGACTTGGCAGACAGCGCTGTCCCTCTCATGTTCCTTGATCTAGCAGGGGAAACTGGGGACCGACCGACAGGCCTGGAACGCAGCTGCCCTAGACCCCTGAGTCATAGGCTGATTCCTGCAATGTGCTTACGCCTCAGTCCTTGTGCAGTTTCTAAGGATTCCAGAAGCAGCATCATATTTCCCCTGGGGCAGGAATCAGGTCATGACTGAGAATTCAAGAAATTAGAAACTGCTGGTTGCTCTGATGCTGGGACCAGAATCTGCAGAAGCAGGATATTCGTGCAAATAGCTAGAGCAAGGAGACACAGATGGTGGGAAGCTTCTGGAAGACGAGCCATCCTGGCCTGGGAGTATTTCTCAAGGAATTTCAGAACATGGAATTGATGTGTTTTGCATGTTGCTGGTTATACAGAAAATAGCAAGCCTGAATTATTCTTTTTTTTTTTTTAATTTTTTTTTTTTTTTGCCTTTTTCGTTTTTTTATCGGTACCAGGGATCGAACTCACGACTGCCTGCTTGCAAGGCAGATGCTTATGCCGCTGAGCTAAATCCCCAGCCCAAGCCTGAATTATTCTTTATATTTGCTAGCATAGAATAAATATGTGTTACTTAATCTAATATGTACGTTAGAACTGATACAATACGTATTTGTCTAGATGGAACATATGTTCCAGTAAAATCACATACTTTTTTGATTTTTGGTGCAAGTGGTAGCTTTTCTTTTGTTTCTGGTGCTCAGTAGAAAGGCCTGGCCAGAAAGGCCACTGGACAGTGTGGCTGGGCTTGTTCCTGGCAGCAGGGAGCTGATGGGTGGTGCTGGCAGTGCCTCTGCCCTTTCTTCCTCTGCTCTCTTTCCCCGAAGCCCTTTTCCTCAGACTGTGCTGTTTGCTCCTTCTGCTTTGTGGTGACACAGTGGCTGGTCCCCAGTGTTTTGTTTGAGACCCCCTGGGCTTTCTGGGATGTATCCCACAGTGCTCCTTCCTAAGGGTGTGAGCTCTGTGGGGTGCTGGCTATGGCTCCTGTGTGCCCCAAAGAGAGAGAGAGAGAGAGAGAGAGAGAGAGAGAGAGAGAGAGAGAGAGAGAGAGCAGCTTTGCAGAGTATGGGGAAGGCTGCTCTCAAGTCGTGGAAACAGGAAGGAAAGCAGACTAGCCTCAAACATGCTTAGCATCAACCGTCCAAGAAGCAGGCTTTGTTGCCCATCTGAGGGAAGTGATGTTTGACGCATCTCAGAGGTCTGAAGCAGCCCCAAGAGAGAGTGGGTAGGTGCTCAGGGCAGGGAGGGTGTCCCCAAAGGCCTTACCCAGGACCTCTTCTATGTGGGGAAACCAAGCAGGGCAAGTGATGTGATGAGGAGGAGGCCATGGGGGGCCTGTGTGAAGGCTGTGTATTCCAAGTGTTCCCTGGCAACTGTGTGGGTGCAGCCCAAGAAGGAAGCCCTGGGCCTGGCTGTGAGGGGCCTGAGCCCCAGGAGGGCTTGGCTTCATCACTAACACAGCAGGGAACCCACAGACTTCTCAGCCCTGGAGTCAGAGGACCCATGCACTTACTGCTTAGCAAAATAATGGGGCAGGGAGGCCAACCTCCAAATGACAACAACCCATAGAACACAAAACTGGCATCCCTATTTTCCATATAGAAAATCTTAATCCATGAATGAGTGCTATGGTTTATGTCTGGATGTGCCCCCAAGCCTCATGAGGTTATGGCGGGGGTGTGGGCCTTTGAAGGCAGCTAAGTGTAGCATTTGTGATTGGTTCATTGTCTAGTGATGGGGTTGGTGGTGTGAGTGCTGCACCCACCCAGGAGTGGAGCCGGCATACAACATAAGGAAAGGAGGAAGTCGTGCTTTCCTTTTCAGCCCTTTGGCTCTTGTTGCTTGCAGCTGCCATGAACAATTGCCCTTTAGCCATGCCACCCCACTTCCAAAAACTGTAAGCTAAATAAACCTTTCCTCCCTTAACTTTGGAGTCTTGTCTCAGCGAGATAAAAGTAACCAAGACAATGAGTTTCCCACATCTCTATTTTTCTGATTTCATTGTAGAGAACTCACAGTGCTGTCTCGAGTTTTCCTGTTTATGATTATTTCTCTCACCTTTCCTC